AAAAAAAAAAACAAAAAAAAACACAAACAAAAACAACAACAACAACAACAAAACACACACACACACACACACACCCTATAAAAAAAGAGAGAGAGAGAGAGAGAGAGAAATTGCAAAGTGGGTTATTTAACTTTTGCGGTGCTGAAGGACACAGGGCATTCTGGAAGCACTCCAAGGGACAGCGGGCCTAGGGAAGAGATGTTATGAAAAAGAAGAATGACTTTTTGCGGGACGAAGTGTAAAATCTAAACGGTCACAGCGGCTCTGGGAAAGTCGAACAAAGTAAACAGGTCACTATGGAATTTTGGGGTAAATGTCTTGATTTTTTGAGAAAAAGGTAGACATTCAAACATATTGATAAATGTTAACATGTATCTTTCTCTTTACATTAAAAACCCACTTGAGCAAATGCTAGTCCGATGCTTTTGCTGGAAGCATAGAAATTAGAATGGAACTTAGTATTTCTCTTAATGCAATGAACGATTCTCCTTGCACACTTCGTGCTGTGATATTCTTACATTCACCCTAAACTGGAAAAGGCTCATCGCTTCCCTTTTAACAACTCTGGTAATTAGAATCTTATGCCTATGTTACTCTTCCTAGAGACGCTGATATATAAATTACAGAAAGACCACTAAGTGGTGAATGGGTGGCCACTGAACTCTGAAGATGGGGAAATGTCTCTGTATGAATGACTAATCCTTTTGTGAGCCCCAAATCACTTCATAAGTTTACAGGAAAGTCCAAACAAATCCCAGTTTTCTCAGTGTCTGTTTCATGAAATTACACTGCTTTCCCTGGCTTAAAAATGCCTTAGGTACCTAAACTGGTAATTAATCATTTTCATCTCAGATCATCCCAATGCAGGATTTTATATATCCTCTCCCACAGTCACACTGAGTTCCTTCCTTAAAGGAAAAACAAAAAATCAATACTTCTGACGATGGAGATGATGACGGCATTTCTTAGAATAATTAATATGTATTGGTAGTTAGAAGCCACTTATCCTGCCTTTTCTGCTTGTTTACCAGAGAGATTTATGTAAGTATTACTGCTTAAGTAATCCCCTGCCCCCCAAATCATTTCATTTACCTGACTAAAGGGAAAAAAAATTTCTAATCTATTAGATATGTCTGAAGTTAAATACATACATGCATTTTTAAAATGATTTTTTTTTAATTTTCTGAAGTTTATTTATTTTGAGAGAGAGAGAGAGAGAGAGAGAGAGAGAGAGAGAACGAGCAGGGGAAGGGTAGACAGAGAGAGAGAGAGAGAGAGAGAGAATCCCAAGTAGGCTCCACATTGTCAGCGCAGAGCCTGACATGGGGTTCAAACTCACAAATCTCAATTTCATGACCTGAGCTAAAATAAAGTCAGACACTTAACCTGACTGAGCCACCTTGACGCCCCCAAAATTAGTGTTAAACTGAATTAAAAATAAGGAGCAATTTATTTCTAAAATAGGGGTTCTTGCGGCACCTCGGTGGCTCAGTTGGTTGAGCATCCGACCCTTGATTTCAGCTCAGGTCATGATCCCAGGGTCGTGGAATCTAACCCTGCATCGGGATCAGTGTGAGAGTGTGTGGAGCCTGCTTAAGATTTTATCCTTTTTCCCCTCTCCCCCACTCACGCTCTCTCTCTCTCTCTCTCTCTCTCTCAAATAAAACAAAAAATAAAATAAAATAATGGTTCTCAGTAAAAAACAATTTGGGCCCCAAGGACTTTTGGAAATGCCTGGAGACATTTTCAGTTGTCACAACTAGGGACACCACTGATATCAAGATAGAGGCAGAGATGCTGCTTAAAAGCTGACACAAAAAGATGATCTGGGCCACCATGTGAGGAGAGGCAAGTTTGGTAAACCCTGACCTAAATAATTTATCAAAGTTTAAAGTTTCTTCTAGATGATTGATTTGGTTTAAGCACAGATCGGTTAAGATTTTTGGAATAAGTTGGAGGAAAAAAATGAACGAAAAAGATTTTACTTTCAAAATATGTGATGGTTAGTGTGAAATTAATGGACGTTTCATTCTAGAATTGGTGAAATTATTGGATTTTCTCCCTACCTACCAGTGTCTTTGGAGGATCCTTAACAGCTCCAGCTGGCAGCTATACCAATTAGCTAGAAAAAGTATATGTAAAAGAAATGATTAACTAATGAAGTTATTTCAAGAAAAATCCATCTGTTAGAATTCGGCTATGTGCTATATGTCACAGACTTCTCCATTTGAGTCCAAAACGAGCTTTGTGTACTTGTGAAACAAAGCTTATACATGGAAAAGTGATCCAGGCTCTTTATAGCTTTTAGGGATCTGAAGATTGAATTTCTTCCTTTCGTGTGCTATTAACCGTGTATCAAACCCTTCCGAGAAAGGGCATGTCTTGTGTTACGTTGACTTCGATATCTTACTGTATGTGAAGGGACGGGAAGAAAAATGCAGATAGTGCAAAGAATAATTTCATATTATTTACTTTGGACTCCAGAAGAAAACAGACACTATCAGAGGCTAAAAAAAGCATTGTGGCTCTCAGGATCTTTCTGTAATTCGAAAAGTAGATCCAAAGTTGTTGATATTTGAGAGTTAACCTATAATCACTGTTGTTAGTATATTCAGTGAGGCAACGCTCCCCTTTAGTCTTGTCAGATAGGATTTATAGACACCTACTGATACCATAGGAACAGAATAAATGATATGAGGTAGTAGACATTCATGACTCCTAAATCTCAAGTATTTTTTGTTTTTTACATTTAAAGAACAAAGTTAAGGCTGGTATTTCTATCCTCCATACCCTCTGGCTTTCCCGGAAGTGCCGATTACGATAATTTACTAATACTCAATTCAAAGAAAATTTAATATTTGTTTTAACTTGAAAAATCTATGTTACATAAAATATGTGCCTTCAACTCTTATCTTAATAATCTATAACGTGCGCCACCTGGGTGGTTCAGTCAGTTGAGCTTCTGACTTCTGTGAAGGTCATGATCTCGCGGTGCATGGGTTCAAGCCCCGTGTAGGGCTCTGCGCTGACAGCTCAGAGCCTGGAGCCTGCTTTGGATTCTGCATTTCCCTCTCTCTCTCCCTCTCCCTCTCTCTCTCTCTCTCTCTCTCTCAAAAATAAAAATAAAACACTGAAAAATTTTTTTAAATAATCTGTAATGATACACCTAACTTATTACTTTCATATCTTAAAAGCTTTACAGCTGTTGATACGGATTGAGTAATAGGAAAGAAATAAATTCCATTTCACTGCATGATTTTCTAAATAAGGCCTTTGTATTAATTGTTCTAGGAAGTTTTATCCCCTGGTTGATGGGACATTGTAATGTTGCTTTGTTCTATGTGAGGACACTTAATAGTCTCTCTCATGATAATAAATTTTATTTCAATTGGTTATGATTACTATTTCTTAATTTTGTGCGGAGAGATGGAATCTATGAGGCACATAAGAGGTGATTCATTTGTATTTTATTGCTGTAAATTTTTGTCTTTATGAGAAGTAGGCGAAGTACAGATATGTTGACAGTGAATTTGGAGTATTCGCCATAATAGTATTTGGAATATTTTTCTCTTCAAATAAAAAATATTTTCTTGGGGGAGGTGGTGCCTGGATGGCTCAGTCAGTTAAGCATCTGACCCCTGATTTCGGCTCAGGTCATAATCTCATGGTTGGTGGGATCAAACCCTGCATTGAGCTGTGCCCCGAGAACTGGGAGTCTGCTTGGGATTCTGTCTCAGCCCCTCCCCGGCCCTCTCTCTCCCCAAAATAAATAAATAAACATTTAAAAAAAACAATAAATATTTTTAAAAGAAAGATTTTGCCTATGTTTAATATAAATGCATGAATATATGTTCCTATAAAAACATTCAAGTCACAATGAAGAATATAATTAAATTCTGTAATACCCCCGAGGGAGAGCATGAGATAGGAAAGGTATAAGTGGAGAGATGTTAATAGAAAATTTAAGGAAAAATTAGAAACATAAAAAAGCAAAGTGACTAATTCAGAGACTAAGGCCCCAAGAAAGATACAAAAGGAATGCAAATACAGGATGAGATGGACATATAAGCCAATATGGCCACCAATATATGAAGCACATGGAAAGGCACACATAGAGACCATGGAAGGACACAGAGACATGGTGGGCCTAAAGATAGAGCAAAGAAAAACGAAGATGTAGGCCCACTCATCCGGTATCAATATTAGAAAATCAAAAGAAACCCAAGATGTTGAGTCGGCGTTGGTGAAGAGTTTCATTATCCACAACAATATGCCACATTAACGGAGATGTACAGTTTTGTACTGTTACATCTCATCTTTCAGCCTCTTGAAAATATTCCCACTTAAGACTTATACATGCTATGTTACATTTTTACAATTGTAAATATAAATGGGTCTTATGGGTTTGATGAAATAAACCTAGGAATCTAATGCAACCTTTGCCTTTCCATTCACTTTATTAACACACACACACACAAACACACACACACACACACACACACACCTTTATCCTTTTGTAAGTTGTTTGAGGTACAGTAATGCTAAAATATTGGGCATTGCTAGTGAAACAACGTTTCCAACTTACTCTTACTAATTTAATTTTAAAAAGAATTTTGAATTAAACAAAGAATGATTTTGGAAGGCAATCTTTTAAAATATATTTCTGGGGGCGCCTGGGTGGCTCCGACTTTGGCCCAGGTCATGATCTCACAGTTTGTGAGTTCAAGCCCCACGTCAGGGTCTGTGCTGACAGCTCAGAGCCTGGAGCCTGCTTTGGATTCTGTGTCTCCCTCTCTCTCTGACCCTCTTGTGCTCTGTCTCTGTCTCTCAAAAATAAATACATGTAAAAAATAAAAGTAATTGAAAATTTAAATATATTTCTGTATTTATATATTATACCACTTTTCAGAAAAAAAGGGAGGGTATACTAACATAATGTAGCCATCTTTATGATTCAGGGTCATTGTTGTGATCATCATTGTATGCTTAACTGTGTGATAATGCACTTAAAGTGTCTAGCAGGGTGACCTGAACAGGAGACACCTCATGCAGTGGTGACTATCATTGTCCCCGGCCATTTGTAATAACGGTGGTACAGTGTTGATAGCTTAATAATTACTGGGATGTCTTCAGGGGCTATTTGAGTTTGTAGCTCAGACTAACCCTTTACCGCTATATCATTTCAAGTTATTTCAATTCTTATGTCTGTTTCTTGTGGTTTTCTGGCTTCCTACCTTTCTTTTGGGTAGTTTTATTGATGTAGATAGGCTCTCTTTCCCTCCCTCCACCTCTTCTGTTATCCTTCAACTCTTTCCTTCATTGTCCTATCACACCATTAATCAGTTGTAGGCCAAAGAACAGATACCCAACTTTGTCTTAGAAGCCTCTCATCCAATGTTAAGTGTGTGACCTTCAGTGTAGGGACTCTGTGACCTTTACTTTCAAAGGCCACTTTAACCAGTTTACTGTCTTGAATGACAAGTTCTTGGATTCCTATCTGAGCTGGTAAGAATATCGACTTCCCAAGAACTAGGCTGTCCTAGGAAACCTGAAATGAAAGTTAGTTATTTTAGGAGAACCTACACATTTGGTTTGGTGTGTTAACAATACTTTCTTCTGTAAAATTCAGAATGCAAAATAATTCAGGACTTTATATCTCCTCCTTTTCATTCCTGTGAAAGCAGGGGCTGAAAAGAGTGGCTAGGGCAAAAGCAAGTATTGAGAAGCCAAAGGGGATGGCAGAGAAGAGAATCTATGAGTCTGGGTCTCTCACTCGCTGTGAGAGTGGGTGAGCCCCCAGCCTGTGACTTTGGCCAGATCTTCTGGATGCCCAGTGACTTGGAGCCTCCTGACCAGAGTTGGGGGCTGGATCTTGAACTTGTAGAATTCTTGGATTCTTCAAAGCCATTTGGGACTCGAGCTACACTCAGAACACCTGAAGATTATCTCAGACTATTCCAGAAGGACTGGAAAGACCAAAGCCTATAGTTTTTTCAACATCTTAAATAAAGATACGACCCTTGTCAGGTCCCTCTCCTGCCGTTTGTTGGTTGCACCCCTCCCTCTGCTCCGAGTCCCGTGCTGTGGCCTCAGACTATTTTCTGCCTCAGCAAGTCTCCTTCCAGCTACTTAGAAGGGAAGTTGAGCCAGGACCCGAGTTATAATGATGCACTTGAGCCAAGACGGTGATGACCTACCAAGGCTTCAGAGAAGGTACTTGGGTGGTTTGAAGTATGTAGGTAAAGACATAGAAAGCCTAGGCGAGTGGTCCAAGAACTTCTTGCGGCATATTCACCTGAGTGTTTTCAAAAACACAGATTCCTGGGGCACCTGGGTGGCTCAGCCAATGAAGCGTCCGACTCTTAGTTTCAGTTCAGGTGATGATACCATGGTTCATGAGATCGAGCCCTGTGTTGGGCTCCATGCTGACAGCGAGGAGTCTGCTTGAGATTTTTTTTTTCTCCCTCCTCTCTCTGCCCCTCCCCACGTGTACACACGTGCTCTTTCTCTCTCTCTCTCTCAAAATAAATAAATGAACTTAAAAAAAAGAACACAGATTCCTGGGCCTTATTAGAGACTCATTCAATGAGAAACTCTGGAGGCTGGGCCTGAGATGTTGATTTTTTAATGAAATCTCCAGTAATCCTGCTCTAACTCAAGGATATATGGCTATAATTAGCAATGCCCTCTACTTGTATGCAAGGGAAACCTATAAACCACTGTTTTCCTCTAACAACGTCAAAAACATAATTTTTGTAAGAGAAGGCAGAGAGAGGGGAGAGCTTAAAAAGAGTGAATGTTGTTTTCCTTTCGTTGAGTAAGCTATGGGTTGGTTGGCAGTTTCAAAGAAGACAAGTCAGGGTCGTCTGGATGAATCAGTAGGGAAATCCATTTTTGCTCTGTCTGGATTCTCCCAGAGACCTTGGGAGTTTCATAGTGGGGTATGTGGCAGGTGATCTGTGAAGCACGTCCATTCTGGTTCGTTAGCCCATCCATCTTAGTCATGCCAGGCCTTTGCCATTCTCTTTATCAGAATTCCTCAGCACTTCAGTTTGGGAACCACCAGTAAGAGCTACTTCAGGCAGGAGCTGGTGCTGTTGGTCAGGGAGGCAGGAGAACTCAGGCCCGTAGAGGTCCCTACCCCAGAGGTCTGCCGAGATGGTTCCAGGCCCCCCAAAGGGGAGGGCTAGCCAGAGCAGAGGGGGCCCTCCGATGGAGCCTCGACCCAGAACGAGGGTGTGCTTCCCAGAAAGGGCACCTGATCACATGATCTAGTTGATGTAGGACAGTAATATGACAGAATAGAGGTCTTCCCTGGAAAGACAGGGAAAGAAGGCATTATGAGGGCAATGAGGAGGTCTAGCTGTCATGACACAGCGAGGATCCCAGGCATCAGAGCTGACGGCGGTAATGGAGAATGAGGTGGCGAAGTTCTAGGAAAATGCTTCTACGTCACACAGGTTTGTCTTAGGAACCGTTTCAAGACCAGATTTCACGAACTATGGCCACAGCGGGATGCATCAAAGAAGCGAGCAGTGGGGACCTGGGAAAAGTGTGTGGTGCCCAACCTTTTCCTTAAGAATGCTTCTGTGATAATGGTAGCAGATTCTTTTACATGTTTCCTCTATGCCAGACGCTAGTCTAAGCGTTTTCCATGTATTCCATCCTCGCTGAAATACTCTGAGGCAGGCGATATTAACATGGCCATTCTAAAGATAGGAGAAACTGAGGCACAGCCTGCCCAGAGTCACACACGGAGTAAATCTGGGACTTGAATCCAATTTTTTTTTTTTTGGCTCCAGAGTTTCTGGTTTTAATGATATTTTATGTACTCCTGACCAACACCCCCAATGTCTTTTTCCTCCCTACTGCCATTAAAGTATAGCAGTTGTTATCAAATCTCTAATGACTTAGAGTGTTATCACTCCCAGGGGTATCAGCTTACTAAGAGAAAGCTGAATGTGTTCCTCAATGGCATGTACACCTTAACGGTTGTCATCAATTTAGGAAGGGGTTAGAAAACCTTTTCAGCACCCTCCCAAATTCACTTTGGAAGATCGTAGCCTCTTCTGTACAGCAGGCTTCTGCGCTGCCCCTCAGGGAGGACATGTGGTCTGCCCAGTGGGCCTCATGTGTCGAGTGGACCTAAATGACCTGGGCAAAAAGATGTGAGTGCTCACCTCCATGCCTCTAAGTATAACTAAAGAGTGTATGTGTATATTTCTTTGGTCCATGAGATTTTCAACACTGAGCTACCAACTAGATGATTCTACTTCCAGGTTATCAGGGCTTTTGTCCTCGGCTGCTTGCTTCTTGTCCATAATTAGGTCATAGTTTGATTGCCTGTAGCTAGCCCAAGGGAAAAAGTAGCTTCTGGATCAAAAACTCCAGCCAATGCTCAAAGGCGCTGAGGGCCCTGGCCTCACTAGTCTAGAAACTGATCTAGGAAAGCAAACGCTCTGAAAGAGCCCTATGCAACATGTAAGCTTTGAATCACCTCTTTTCTCTTTAGATTTGTGTTAATGTGCGGATGACAGAATCAGACACGTATCTTTGAAATTAAAATGAAAAAAAAAACATAGTTCTTCAAGAACATACTGACCTACTTAATTATTACTATTTTTTAAAGCTCAAGAAATTTCTTTTCGAGATGATGAGGTTAAAAGAGTGTAAGTAAAATCCTTTGATTCTGCAAATGCGTGTGACTTCTTGGTTAATTGGGACCATGACATTGTCTGTTTTCCTCATTCAGTTTCTTCTTGGATTGCAACATAGAATCACTGAAGAAGACATAATTTCATAAATAATTGCTCACCTTTCTGGGGGTAGCTGGCAACTGTCTTTGATTGATGCAGGCGGACGTGTTTATCCCCTGTGTTTATATTCTCCAGCTGCTGGATCTTTAAGTGCACTTTCTCGTTGGCAATTTAATCAACAATTTTCTCCATTAAGAAGAACCCTCCCTGCTTTACATTTATAAAATGCAAAAACATTTCAATTCAGAAATAAAGCTACACCAGTCTATTAAAACAACAACAACAACAACAACAACAACAACAACAACAACAACACAAGATTCCCTTAGCTTGTATTTAATATAGTAGGAGGACTGATTTCTTTCCCTCCTATTGAATTGCCTCAAAGAAAAAATCCAATTTCTGATTTTTATTTAATATCCTAGGTTTTCAACACTATGACATCTATAAGTAATAAAATATTAGTTATAAGTAAAGGCGTGCCTGTCGGCCCTACATTTGTCTTAGCTCCTAATTATATATGATCTAGAAGGCTCAGGCAGGGGCTGGATGTCACAAGAGATGGTTTCCATCTTGGCTCAACCATTAAAAAGCTTTGAGATTTTGGGTAAGTCAGTCCATCTCTTAATGCCTTAGTTTTCTCACTTTTCAAATGAAAATGTTAGGTGCTGAAACTGTGTGTCTTTTCTGGCTCTGTTGTTTGATGCATCTGTGGATTACTGGATGATGTGTACATCCCTCAAAACATGATTCTCTTCCTCCCTGTGAGACGGTCTGTCTGATGTTGTTCTCTGTTTCTGGAAGGGCTTCCTCATAAGTCCATAAAACAAACTCTAATCCTTGAATCTGCTCAGAGCCTACCTACTTCTTCACAGAGTTTTTCTTATGCTATTGTCTACAAATAATAATCTCGTTCAAACTCCAAGAGCACTTTGTACTTCTATAACAGTATGTGTCTTATTCTGACAAATTATGAAGTTTTTTTTTTTTCTTCTTCCTATTAAGACATTTGGCCAAGGGGGTCAAGGGTCATACCTTTCCATCATTTTACTTAAGGCAGCCCTCAGCCCAATACAATTTTTCTCAACGTTGATACACAATAAGTATTTATTGAACTTGTTGAATTAATAGACATAGTGACTTAAGAGGGCTGTTATACTCGAGGAAACAAAAGACATATGAGAAATGTTTAAGTAGAAAGAAAAAGAAAAATCAGATCCTATGACTCAGAAAACTCCACACTGAAATCAATATAGTCATTCAGCCCAAAATGACCTATGTTGAATGCTGCGTTTGTCGCTTTTGCTCTTAAGTGTCCTGTTTAAAAGAATGTCTATTCTATTCTAGGCAGATTTATTAGGAGAAATATGTAAAGAATATAGCCATAAAGCATTTAAATGTGGACCATTTTGTAGATGTCAGACCGTCATCAGTTTCTATATAAATGAATAGCTGTGAAAATGGATCACTTCTCAGCATTTGGAGAGAGAGAGAGAGAGATGCATTTTTTAAGAGAATCATAGAGATCAACATTTTAAAGAAGGACTTCTCATCTGCTTAACATGATGCATTATTGAACTTAGATGGTAAGGAGGATGAAAGCACATTCAACCAGGTCATTTAACCTCTTTGGCAGAAAGGTGCTGCATAAATCCAGGTAGCTCTTATCGTGTGACTGGAAGTCTTGCCCATATGTGCTGCCAGGTGAAAAGGGGTTCAAGTTGTAAAATCCTTGAAAAGCTTTTTTTTTTTTTAGTTTTCCAAAAACTCTGTTTTTCAGGATTCAGTAAATGGATGGCAATTCCAAATTTAACGAAGTGTCTGTAGCGGTGGATGGTGCTTCTCGGTTGAAGCGAGCTCGTTATTGTCGTTAGTTGATGGGAGCTAGGTTAATTACATGTTCTACTTCTAGTGGAATAACCAATCAACTGGAGAATCTGGGCATTTGCTCTTCCCACATGAAAGAAGTGAAAATACTAAATAGAATCTAACAGGGAGGAGGGAGTGTTAGTAACATGAATTTTTGAAGCAGCCTTTCCTGTCTCACTAAGTGTGTCCAGAGCAGCTGAACTTAAAGGATATCAAATATTTTTTTTCCTATTGTTTGCATGTATTTCCTTGTTGTAGATGAAACCTATGCAATTAAGTGGGGAAAGAAAAAAGGAAGAAAGACAAAAGGTAGAAAGGGTCAGCAAATAAATATTGGGGGAATCCATGGATTGTTATGGGTGGGCAATCCTGAGGTAGGTTTTATTCCCATGACTCAAGTAAATCTGGATTCCCCGGGGCGGTGTGTGTGGCTCAGTCGGTTAAGCATCTGACTCTTAATTTTAGCTCAGGTTATGATCTCATGATTTGTGGGATTGAGCCCTGCATCGGACTCTGCCCTGTCCAGCCCAGAGCCTGCTTGGGATTCCCTCTCTCCCTCTCTCTGCCCCTCCCCTGCTCGTGCACTCTCTCTTTCTCAAAATGAATACATAAACTTAAAAAAAATGAAATCTAGATTCCCAGGAACTAGAAGATTTAGTCGGTTTCGGTGTTAGCCCCCAACAGAATGACCAGAACTCAGGTGAGGTATTGCTCTCTCAAAGCTATCCCATTCTGAGTATCAAAGTTGCCCCTAGATTCACAAACTAGTTTCATTCTTTGATTGATTAGTTATTAACTACTTACTAATGATTAATGACAAGAGACGTATGCCAAAACGATGAAGGCTTTTTGTCAATGTGGGCCCAAGAGAAATTTCAAACCTACGAAATTAAATTGCCTCAGGTTGGTCCTTGTTTGGTTGATTGATAATGTTACCTGAAGCCTGTGAAGAATTCACTTTGGCCTCTAAGCCAAGCTAGGTTTATGAGTTCTGAATATGAAGTATAATAAAACTGTCCATTGATGTTTCAGAGAAAAACAGCTTGATTGTCTATCCAGCCATGATTCTCCATTTCCCTTTCACGGCCGAACCACTCAAGTGAATGCTGTGTGTTTGCCGCCTCCAGTTCTTGACCCCCTCACCCCATTTCCTCCAGTCCAGCTTCCTCTTCTGCTCACTCCCAAGTCACACGGGGCTGATGCCTAATTGGTCTCTCGCTCTGGCCTCTGCCTTCTTTTGGTTCTCTTCGACTTCACAGAACGTCTGACACTGTTATGTATTCCATCTGAAGACATTTCTCTTGATTTTCATGCAAAGTTACATCCTCATTAGCAATCCTTTTTGGACTGTCTTCTGCTTTTTTGGCAAGGGCCTGGGAGGTCTGCTCCTCCATTTATAAAAGAAAAAAAAAAAAAACAAAAAAAAACCTCTTTTGACACATGCCTGACACAGTGTTGTGATTAGCATTTAAGTGTTTGCTTCCCCAACTAAATTGTCAGGGCACAATACTGCGAGACTTTTTCATTGCAGCAACTAGCACATTTTCTGGCCCAAAGTACATCTTCAATATGTGTTCCTTAAATCATCAAATGGCTGTTTGACTAGAGTGAATGAATGTGTATCCAAGCTCCACAATTAAATGGTAAATTTTTGAGAGCAAAGACTATATATTTTGTTTAAGTGCCCATGGTTTCTATGACTATGTTTTGCATGCTCAGTTTATACTTATGGCTTATTTTTCCAAAGCTAACATGTTTTAAATAGCAAAGCCCAATGGGATTACCCTGATTACCAAGCATTGATAGTAATCTGATTTTGCACAGGATGCACAGATCAAGACTAGTTAATATATTTCAGAATCAACTGCTCCAAAGAATACCAATGGAGAACCCAGGTTTAGATCATTTTTATATGGAGTGGTCAGAAGGGGATCAGGCCTGTTACTGATTAGGAAAACTAGGCAGTACTCAGCAAGGAAAATGACAGCAAGTACCCATAATCTGATCGAAGTAGTTTGTTTATGTAGGAAATAAAGTAGGGTCCATTACAAATAGCATCGCATAGAGTTCCACTGAATGATTCGGGAAGCAGTATTAAGATATTATGTTGTAGATAGAAAATTATCACCTGGATTGTATGTGGTATACATATGGTCCATTTACTATTTAAATTCCAGCATTTCAGGGAAGTAAAACATGTATCCCCGTTTCTATACGTTTGTTGGATTTAAAAAAACTCCTTTGCTTGACCAGCTTAAAAAACAATCTCATTATAATGGAAAGCAGTGTGGAGAGTTCCTTAAGATACACATATGGGCAAAGACACAGGAGTCAAATGTCCTGCGGTTGAAAGATGGATTTATCACTGAACAACTGTGCTTTTAGGGC